GTATCGCTGAAGTTTGTCGGAAAGAATTTCTACGGGAAATTAACAAACAAGCAGATACGTAACAGTATGGTTAGTTAAGGCAGGAACCAACGTTGTAACACAGGGAAAATTGCAAACTTAAAGAATGAGAGAAACAGGTTGTGTAAGGATGTCATTGAAGGAAAGAAACAGCAAATCATAAGGTTAATATAGTTCTAGATGGAGAAGAGAAAGAAAGTACTAGCTTTACTAAGATACACAATAGCAGAAAGCCTAGGGCTAAGGAAGCAGGTTCAAGTCAAATATAGTTAACTGTGTCAAACTGATGTGAAACTCTGGTTGTTGATGAAGGTAGTGAACAACATGATCCAGGTTGTCTACTGTGTTTATCTAATTTCCAACATTATCATCACTCAACAGCAGCTAGTAGCACTGTTACACACTCATATGAAAGCAATAACCAAAATTCAAATCATCATCAAAATAGCAAACGATCATACCTGACGATGAAATAGGAGTTTGGTCTTTCCAGGTTGGATAACACAAACAAATTGTTGGAAGCAGCTAAGCATTTTCAGTATAGGACACATGTGCACATAACTAATGATGTTGTTTTCTAAACTGTATTCAGGTGTAGTTTCTACATTACATTAAAAGTTTAATTCCATAATTATTCTGATAAACATCTACAAATCTAATCTCATGATGGTTTTTCATTTATATTTAACCACTAACGAGCATATGGTTACAAGAGTTGAAGTGGGTGAACAGTTGGGGAAAAGTGATCATTGCATGATAAGTTATGTTTTGCTACATGTTAACACCAAGAAAAATTAATTGTTTTGAATTCAAGATACATGTAGGCATTTTCTTTAAAGAAGAAAAAGATAACAATGAAGATTAAACCAAAGTGGTTTACTAAGAACATAAAGGAGAAAATCGCAGAAAAAATATCATAAGTTCAAGAAGTCTAAATTGATAGATAAGATAAAATACTTACAAAACTATAGAAGAGCTAGTGATTTGGTTAAAAAAAGAAATTAGGAAATCAAAAAAGGCTTATGAGTGAGAACTAGTTGATTATGTTAAAAGGTAAGAACAATGTGATCATGGAGAGCAGGCTCTCAAAGGAAACTGATTTCAAGGTTGTTTTTTTTATTATTTTAAGGTTATTAGCCTGGAGCCCAGAAAGTTTCAACTAAAGGTAATTGCAAAAGAAATAATTTATTTGGAGACTGATAAAGTGAACACTGATAAGTTATATCTACAAGTTATACTCATTTCCATTCACCTATTTCATCACAATATTGATTTTAAACTTTGCCTGTTGACATTTAGTTTTTACCATTTATGTAGCATGACATATAAGGTTTGTAGTCACTGATTAATCTCTCTCTCTCTCTCTCTCTTTCACTCTTCTCTTATTCATCAACATCTTCTTCCTCTTCTTCTGTTCAGCATGTAAGTACTGTGAAACATGAACATATATTTTCAAGGCCAATAATGCTAATGAATGTGTTTGCTTTTTCAGACCTGGTTTGTAACTAGAAGAGACAACCATGGTGTTATGTCCACTGTGTGGAAATACACTTGACTTGGGTGGGAAGACAGTCATGCCAACAACAAGAGGAAGGAACACCATCAACAGATCAAGTGAAGAGTGTGGTGATACAATCTTCATATCAAAGGGTGAGGCGGTACATGAAGAGTGCCATCACACATATATAAATTCACACAACATCCAATGTCACCTGAAAAAAAAGCAAGAGAAAGAAATTGCAGTGAGCATTAGCCAGAACTTGTGTTCTAAATATCAATGCTTTGATTTTGCAAGATGCTGTTTTTTTTTGTAAAACTGAAGTGAAGCTTGATGCTCGTAATGGTCCCAAAGTCTATCCAGTCAGGACTATAGAGTTTCAGTACACAGTCAGCCTTCAAACAATAAAAGACATCAAAGTTCAGACTGCAGCAGACCTCACCCTGAGAAAAAAAAAGACCACGTTATGACACTTGGGGCAAAAAAGTCAGTGAAAGTCAATGGGACCTCCATGTATGTTGACCCACAACTGCTATGGCTTAAAAAGATAATAAGGAGGTTTTCCAACATGAACTTTGCATCTTCCCATCTTCATTGTTTGATTCTCAAGACTTCCTTCAGCAACAACAAAGCATAACTATCTGATGAAAGTTGGAGCTTGTTCAAAACATCGCCACAAGTCAACCACCATCCAATGATGTGTAGTTTGTTCTTGATGGAGGCTCCCTACTGCAGCAACTACAGGCATCATGAAACCATAGAAGCACTTTTCAGAATATCACTGACTCATATGTCTACTTGGTCAGTGAAAGATAGTTCTCATCTTTGATGGGAACATGTCCAGCTTTTCAACAAAGGATATGACTCATCTCAGATGAGGGAGGGGACTCCAAGGAACTTTGTGCCTGACATGATGCTTCAATCCACAAAAGACCTGTTTCTGGCCAACAAGGAGAATAAGCAACAAATAATTATGTACTGTCATTCATGCCAGGGGTGAAACTGATTTTCAGATCATCATGGAAGCAAGAAATTGAGCCAAAGACAACATCACAGCCATCACTGGAGAGGACACAGATCTTCTGGTACACTGATGTAGCTTTGGAGGACATTCTTCTCTTTTCAGGTAACAAGGGAAAACCAAAAAGATTTGGAGCATGAAACATCTGGTCACTACTCTTAAAAATTTACGTCATCTGCTCCTGTTCTTATGTGTTTTCATGGGTTGTGACACGACCTCAAGGCCTTTTGGAATCAGGAAGGGTGTGACATTCAAACAACTCCAGAAGAATTCAGACTTTCAAAATTTTGCATGTATCTTCCTTCTTCTTTAGAAGCTGCAGTCTCTGGAACATGTGCAGTTAACAGATGAAAAATCACTTGTGCAGCTATACAATTGAAAATTAGAGGAGAGCTTAGATGAACTGTGCCACCAATTGTTCTGCTAAAAAAGTAGCAGTTGGAATGATGTTCGTGCCTGTCCATACCCTTCCACCATCTTCAGCAGCAGCAAAATTCCATATCCTAAGAGTATACTTACAAGTGTAACAGTAGATGGGAAATGGTCTAGAGCCAACAGAATGTGGCTGGAAGATCAAGAACAATATTCTTGTGCCAGTCATAACTGACTAGCTCACAGTCAACAGTCAAGTCCAAGTTTTCTGCAGCTGCAATGTTTTGCGTGACAGTCCGTGACTGTTAACTGGGTTATGGCAAGTTTCGTGGCATCAGCTGTGCCATTTCTCATTTCTTGTTTATTGAATGAAATGTACACTTTTGGACAGATAGGTTTTTTCACTAATTCACACGTTGATAGTACATTCTGACTATGCACAACGACTATATAATAATTTCCACATTGAACTTTGTCTTCTTAGGTCAAACAAGGATGTATCTCTTTTTTATTTGAAATTATCTTTCAAAGCTCTTTCAAACGAGGTCCTACATGGTAGGGTTATACCTGTTGAAACGACATGTATGGTGACTGTTGGCAAACGACATTATCAAAGTCAATATTACATAATCATAGCTTAATAGATTTGTAACATTACATTTAATTCTGTCTTTTCTTTGCTGATCAAAAATAATTTGTCAAGATCCTTCCAATGAGATGCTACATGATGGTGTTTACAAAGGAAACAGCAAGGTAGTAGTTTTGTTTAGCTATGATATCATCAAAATCAATATTTTGATATTATGCAATGTTGCAGAAAAGTATAATTCCCATCAATGTTAGAGGGCTTCATATGAACTTAAAACAACAGACATAAATTCTTTTGAAATTTGTTTTGAGTCATGGTACATTTTGGCATAGGGTCACCAGACTATATGAGAAGACTAAGATTTTATATGTTCTATTTATAATAGAACATGCTAACAAAATTCCTGACCCTAAGAACTCTATAGAAAATGTTATAACTGACCTGAATCAATAAAAAAGACTGAAAGATTAAAAATAAATGAAATGCCAAGACCAGACAATGCTTTCCTAAGGGGTTAATAGTGGTCAAAGGTGAGATATGAGTTTCTTCCATTTTGCTATAAGTCTCTAGACAGTGAGCAGGAGCCAGAAGATTGAAAAATTGCTAACATTGCTACAATTTTTAAATGGGTGATAAGAGTTGTACTGGAAATTATAAATCTACTGGTCTTACTTCTTTAGTGGGAAAAATTATAGAAAAAAATGCTATACAAAATCATGTGATAAAATTTAAGAGCCAACATAGATTTACTAAAGGGACATTTTGCCTTACTAGTGTTTTTGACATTGTTACTTGTTAACTTGATGCTTTTCACAAGGTTTTTGAGAAGGTGGCATACAGAAAATAAGCTAAGAATACCACTCTGTTGGGAATAGTAGAAAGACTAGTTAATTGGTGAGAAAAAGTAGAAAAACTGTAGTTATAGGAGTCCAGTTACCCTGAATATTTGTTGTTAGTGATGTGCCTTAGGATACAGTGCTTAGATCTTTGCTGTTTCTTATTTACATTAATGACATTAATAAGGGAATACTCAATTAATAAAGTTTGCTGATGATATTAAATATTGGGATGTTGAGGCACTACAGAATGATTTGATAAATAATCAATTGGCAAGTTGGTAAGTTACCTTTAATTATAGTAAGTACAAGGTAATGCATTTGAATTATCACATTTTGGATTACACATTTAATATTGAAAGGAACCCCCTCGATAACCTGACTGGAGAAAAGGATCTTAACATAACAGTAGATATGTTACTCAAGCAAAGTATTGATCTGTTGCCATTATTAAAGTAAATAGAATTTGAGGATGTATTAATAGACTTAGTGATTACTAGTCAAAAGTATCTTTAATTGAAAAATAATATTAACTTATTGGAAAGGGTTTAGAAAGAACTACAAGAATGACTCTGGGATGAAAGGGTCAACTTATGGGTTAAACTAAGATTTTATTTTTCTCTTAAGAAAAGAAGAGTAAGAGGTGATGTTAAGAACATTATTCAGGGGATCCAAAAGGTAAAAACCTCTAATTTCATTGTTCTGAAGTCTGAAGACAATAGAACAAAATTCAGTCAATAGAACAAGACACAAGTTTGATGTGAAATCCTTGTTTAAAGAAAGATGAATGTAAAATTATAAACATCCAGAGGTGGTTCACAAGTTAGTGACTTATAAGGATAGAAAGAAAAACTAAATTTACCATTCTTAAAATACAAAATGGGGAGATCTGACAAGTTAATTATCTATAGCATTACTGGTATAAAAGACAATCTTTTGGGAATTATTTTTTGTTGTTGTTGAGCAGACTATAATACATTAGAAGGCATTCTAATAACTATATATACCACATACTTAAACTGTATTTTGGAAGAACAATTTTTGAAATAAGAGTTGTCAGTTCTCAGAATAACTTCTTCCAGTTATTCATATGTTACTGTAAACAAGTTTAAAAACACTCTATATAGGTAAATGAACTGAATATGTTTGCAATTCTCTATAAATTCTATAACTTGTCTATGAGAGGTAATATACTCATTGTTTGCTGCCTTAATCAACTTAGTTAAGATATGAAAAACACAGCCTAGGCTTCAGTTTACAGTTTTCTTTCAAAGTGACTAGTTTATGAAATGAGTTCTATCAACTGCACTGAAAGGAAGTACCTTTCAAGAGTCTAACGAAAATTAAATGGTAGGTTTAAATTTTTACTTATTTTGTCAAGAGTGAGTGTACAGCTCTGCAGTGAAAGGATCAAATGATCCTTTATTGTACTAATGTTAATAACTGTAACATTTGTTTTGCGATTCAAATTTTTTAATACCTAAGTTGATTAAAAAAACAAGCTAGAATGAAATTACATGTAACAGAAACTAAGAAAGTATTTCTGTTAACAGAAGCTAGGTCCAAAATTTTCTGTTAGATGTAACAAAAACAAGGTAACAAAAGACCATTCAGCCCTTGAGGTCAGCATAAATAGTCTTCTCATTCATGAACCTATTCCACAAATTTTTAACAGATGCACATGAAATGTATACTAATAGGAATACAAGTAAAAATAATAGTGCACATACAACTTCCTCATTTCAAGCGAAGCATTCCACGACTTTATAGCTCTCAACTGAATACTTATTACCAAGTTATAATATCGATAAAAAACAAATAAGTTTAGTTCTATTTTCTTAAAATTCTGCATCAAACGTTAGGCGTCAAAATTTTAATTGCCCATATTATTTCGATATTTAACAACTGATAATCCTTCCTCGGTTTTATCATTTTTACGTGTATGCTACGTACTAACACTTCATTTCAAATACCACATACGTCAATTTAATCCTTAAATTAAAAGTAATGTATCTTTGTATCTCACCCTGACAAAGCGATTAAGAGTTCTGAAAAAACTGAAGTTTAAACATCCCATGTTGTTAGGTAAATACGAAGGCATTAACTAATTAAGGAAATTTATAACCATATATTTCTTTCCACTCAAATTTCACTTTCAGTCCACATTTTCTATGGCTCTAAACGGGTTAATCAAAAATAAAAAATTCAACAGTTATAATTAATTACTAAAAGTAAAAAAATAACTAATAGTAATACGGGTTCATACTACACTTATTACTTGAATACAAACAAAAATAGGCCTCGGTTTATTTAATGTTACAGTTGGTAGCCTAGAAACCATTCTGTGATGTACCGAACCTTTCGTTAAAAACGAGATTTCACGAGATATAAAATATTAATATTATAATTTCTGTTATACATTTGTCTACATAGTATATTAGAAACGATATACATATAAATATCTTACTTAACTGATTTAAGACGTATTCTTTTGAGTGCGAACAGTGATACAAACGTTTTAATAACGAAAATGTTTGGCAAGTCCAATGTGTATGAAAAGTTGCACAAGTTACATTAGATGTGTATTAATGTATACAGTAGAATTTTGCGCGTTTTATCTTGCTTGCGACCCCATTTAGTACTCTAGAAATATACTGTTGCGTCAGCGAGGTCACATGACTAGTGTCACGCCACGTTTCTAGAACTATCCTGTACCTTGACGAATGCTCTAGCATTTACTAGATATAGGGTAATCTGGTATATAAAAGAGGGTGACAACGTGACAGGACAATGTGTGTGACTGCAGTTCAATTACTCATTACCTACAGAGAGAGGCGTATTGTTGAAGTTAACGTTCGTTGTTAAAACGTTTGTAAAAGAGCGACTGTTGAAATCAAGTGTATCGTAAAGTTATATTCAGAAAGAATAAACCAGTTTTATTAAGTAAGGACTTGTGTCGCTAAAGTTTCGTCGGAACGAAGTTACGGAAAGTTAATTAACAAACGGAGACGTAACAATACATATTAAACTAGTAGTTTCATTTTCCATGCAAATCCTGTTGCTGAGAGTATTGATGCAATTTAATGCAAAATATGTTTCAGAGATGGGTTAAAGTACAGATTCATATGGCCGTGCCCAGAATCCCCTGTCAAATAGAAGTTGCTCCAAAACAATTTACACATTATGATGCATTGTTGTGGTATATGAGTATATAACATGTTTCTATTTTCTTATAGATTTGTTACGACAGCGGAAGACGCGTGATGTTGGGAGCATGCGCGCTGGTGTTTCTCAAATTATCGAGGAACCTCGCGAATGTCCGAGTGTTTGCTACACGCCCTCTTTCTTTTAGTATATAAGCCTGGCAAAGAAAGCCAGGGTGATAGATAGATAGATAGATAGATAGATAATTAAAGAAGCGAACTATAGTGACGGTAATATAAAGTGTGTGTTTTTCTTATCGAAATTGCAAAAGTATTGACTGTGGAATTGCTGTGTACTAAAAGTTTGTATCCAGGAAGAATAAACTTGTTTAATCATAAAAGGACTTCTATCGCTGAAGTTCCTCGGAAAGAATTTTACCGGAAATTATCAAACAAGCAGATACGTAACAGTATTCTAATATTCATTTCAAAATCATTCTTTGTTGTGGATGTACACAGATTTCACATAACATCTGACCAACAAAGCCATTATCTTAATCTTGTTACAAGTTACCTTTGTCCCTTTCATGTTCTCAAAATAAGTAATATCTGTTACTGCTCATGGAGAACATTGCTTAATACAGCGTTCTGTAAGAATGTCGAAAAGAGTCCTTCAGTAGTTGTTCAGCTGATTTCTATATGTTAGAGCCTCACCTATGTTGTAATGAGAATGACCAATCATGTGGGTAGCAAATGTTATACTAGGAGAATGCAAAATTTTTTGCAAGTTAAAAAACCTATCATTTAGTTAATCTGAAATTTCTCAGTTAAATATTTAGTTTAGTCTAGAACTTGGTTTTGATTAGATCAATCCGATGTTACGTCTCTGGTCGTTGGTTAATTTTCCGTAGAAACTCTTTCTAAAAAAAAAAACTTAATGATACAAGTCCTTTCTTAATTAAAACTAGTTTATTATTTCTCAATTCAACTTTGCAATACACTTAATTTCCAC